CGGGTGACGCTGACGGGATCTCCGTCCAGCGGCCGGCCGTTACACGGTGTGGTGACGCGCGTCACGCGCCGTGACGCGCCGCGCCTTGCCGGCGGCACGGCCCCGATTCAGCGCACCGTCCGGTGATGGTCCGTTTTCGCGGGCCACCGGCTCGCTGCGGGGTGCCTCCTCTGGTGGACACCCACCGCTCCGCTCGGTGACAGATACTAGACGGTCATGATGACACGAACCTCAGCTCGGTGGCACAGGTCCCAGTATCTATCCCACTGAAAAGAACCGATACCTCCCGCTGACACTCCGACTCTCCGTTCCAGGCAATCGCCAAGTTCGTGCTCGAGCTCGGCTGGCGGGACCTGTCGGTGACGGTCGGCGATGACGCCGATGACGTCCTGGTCGTCTCCCTGCTCGAGAGCGTCGTCAACAGCTACAGCATCTGCCTGCGCGGCGTGGTGGCTGTGGGCGAGCTGCAGTCGGCGCCGCTGGCTCGGCACCTGGTGCTGGTGGTCGACAGCGCGGCTGTGGGTGACGCCCTGGCCCGGCTGCGGCAGCGGCCTGATGGGGCGGCCGGACTCGCCGGGGTGCTGGTGGCGGCCGCGCCGCGCCGCCAGGACCGCGCCGCGCTGCTCGACCGGCTGCCGGTGCCGCTGTACTTCGTGCCCAGCCAGCCGGCGGCCATCGGGCAGCTGGAGAAGGAGTGGCGGGAGATGCAGTCGGTCACCATCCCGCGACTGCCCTCCAACGCCTGGTTCATCCAGCACGCCATGGACCGGCTCGGCTGCCGGCTCTTCAACTTCACATCGAGCGCCAGAGGCGAGCGGCGACCCATCTGCCGCGACTTCGAGTAAGACTCGTGGACAAGTAGATGCATCAATCCGATAGCTCAATATCAGCTTGCCAATGTGAACGTTATGACAGCGCTGTTTTCATTTCTGTTATGCTTGTTTGTTTACGTGCCATGGGAACAGTCTCCATTAAGCATCTTTAGCGAAGTGCGCTGTGTCTGTACTTAAATGTGCACGTCTTTCCGCAGTTTGTCAGAGGACGACCTGGACCGTCTGGAACGGAGCCGACTGGCCCTGCCAGCCGTACACGCTGTCTTCACGTTCGCCAACGCCCTGTTCAGCGCCTGGCAGGCCGAGTGCGGCAACCGACCGGGCCCCTGTCAGAGGCTGGACCGGCTCTCCCCGGCCGCCTTCCGGAGACTGTACCTGGACCCGCTGGTGTTCTCACACGCCGCCCCCGGCACCAGGTGAGAAACGAACTCATATCGTCTTGGTCACCCTGGGCTGAGCCCAGGGTGTAAATGCCGTAAATGCCGTAAATGTGAATTTACCGCATCTGGTAACATTCAAAACTATTCAACATTCATTCATTCATTCTTTCAGGCGACATTTATGATCATTCACGCTATCAAAATAAGTAGGCAAGATTAGCCTGGATGCAAATAAAGAGGTATCTTTGATATCGTGCCGTAACATCCGGCCAGTGCTGCCAAATCATTTTTACGGCACTGGTGAGATTGGGCCGCCCCGGGTGAGGTGAGGTGAGAAGCAATCTTACACCCTCCTGTGCGAGGGACGATCTTACGCCGCCTCGGTCACAGGGCGGGGGATGCTGAGTTGTAATACGTCCACATTTCAAAGACGCACGGTTAACGGGCGTTTGTCATGTTCGGTTAGCCCCTGCTTTAATTCGTTTAAAGTGGACATAGACGTTCAACATTAACCATCTCGCCCTTCCTCTCTCTTTCATTGAGGCCGGCCGTTCTAGTTTTATCACGGGGGTAATTACGTCCGAATCGAAAGTTATGGCCGTCTGACCAGCCGTCGACCGCTGGTGTTGGTACAGAGATCAGCTGACGCCTGAATGACGTCATTTCTTCCCTCTCGGCGTTGAGTTCATCGATGAGACTGTTGCCTTCCGTTTCGCTCTTCGATCTGACTGTCTCCCTGTCCCCTCTCCAGGAGTCCACCGGAGCTGGACGGGCTCGGCCGCGGCGACGGCCACCTCTCGGGGCTGACGGTGCCGCTGCTGAGCCTGCACGTGGGTCCGGGGCCGGCCGGCGCGCTCCACCTGCGCCAGCTCTCGCTGTTCTCGGGCCAGCTTCCGCCGCTCGACGGTAATGCCACGCGGGCCGAGTGTGTGCGCCGCTCGCCGCCGCCGACCGTCGACCGGCTGGTGGCTGCCGAGACGGCGCCGACGCCGGTCAGAGCCGCGCCGCCGCGCCGGCTCACCACCACCGTTCCGCCGGCGCCGCCGCGGCCCAGCGCCGGCCGCGTGCTGGCGGTCCGCCGCCGCCGGCCGCCGCCGGGCCGCGGTCGGAACAGACTCATCAACAGTCGCCGTCGGCCCGACCCGGCCACCGTCAGCGGAATACGGACCGACGAGCTAGTGGCACCGCTGCTGACCTTCTCCCCCACCCGGGCCACCTCGTCCCGGCCCCAGCCGGGCGAGCTGGGCCGCCAGGGTACCACCCCGCCACCGGTACCCCAGCGGCCGACCTCCGCCGCTACTGCCACACCGTCCACCGCCACCCCAGCAGCCCCGTCCCGCTCCCCGCTGCAGCGGCTCCGCGGGTCACCGTCGCGCCGGCGGCCCTCGGCGAGTCACGGCCACCCACCTCCCTCCTCCTCTTTCCCCGTGACCGTCCGGCCAGGACCGTGGAGAATGTCTCCTCCGCAGATACCCATCATCGACCTGGCCGGTCTGGCGGCAGCGCCCGGCATCGGAGTCCCCACGGAGCCAATCGGAGGGAGCTCGACACCAGCGGCCGCCGCTACTGACACTGTCACTACAGAGACGGTCTCAGACCTGTCCACAGCGTCGTCTGGTAACGTCGTCACCCTGCCCTCAGCCGGCGCCTGGCCGGATATCACCGTGGTCTTATCATCGGCACCAGCGAGTGACGGAGGAAGTCCAGAGCAGGTGCTGAGTGGTCCCGGAAAGAGTCGGAATATTAGCTCTGTGCACTTGACCAAGGGAAACAGCTCTGAGACGCCCGCTGAGAAGCATCAGCTAGCCTCTGAACGACCACCAGTGGGTCTGCCCGATTCATCCCATGAACGGCCTACATCGGCAACTGACGTTGACGAGGTCCTCGGACAGCCTTCTGGCGTACCAGATCCATCTTCTGGTCAACCACCGAAAGTTTCCATCAGCTCGACTCTAGTAGCCGTGACAACAGACACGAGCTCTCGGAAATCGTCACCAGTCACTAGCTCTACCTCATCAGCGGAAACATCGACTCCTATCTCCACACATCTACCAACAACGACGGATCCCTCCTCTACCCACCCAGTAGAGTTGCCTGATCGTCTTCTCCCGCCGGTGGAGGTATCGACCTTGCCCTCTAATCACCAACCGGGGCAAGGTCCGGGTCCGACCTCCGAGCGCCCCACGCCGCTGCCGGGGCCGGCTCTCACCGACGACCAGTCGGAGATCGCTCGGATCGTAGCCTCGCTACTGCAGTCGACTCCGGCCACCATCGCGGCCCGTCCCGGTCCCGTGAACGGCCACTCGTGGCGGCCGCCCAGCTCCACGGCGGCGGGGGCGATGGTCAGACCGCCCGGCCGCGCACCGCCGCCCGCAGTGGAGGTAGGTGGGGTGCCGGGAGGGGTTCTGCGGCCCCCGGACAGACAGTCTCCCCCTCCGTCCAGGTCTACAGGAGAGGACGAGGTACCGGGAGGTGTGCCGAGACCGCCGGGCCGGGAGCCGCCGCCGCAGTCTCTCCGGCCCACGACTGAGGAACAGCCCAGACCCGATGTCAGCACCGAACGGGCAGACAGGCTGGAGACCACGACAGATGGGGAGGAAAATACTGATACCAGTACGGAAAGACAGGACACGTTCAGTATCACGACCGAACAACAAAGCTCGTCCGAATCAAGCACAAGTGAGAAAAATGAACCAACGACAACCGAAACACAAAATTCAAGAGGTAAAACTACGGATCGAAGCGACGAGCTCGAATCAAAGAACACCGACGGGCGCGATGACGCTCATTCGGTCGGAGGTCTCACGACATCGGCGACATCAAACGCTGAGCTGGATGGACAGGAGAGCATTGCCAAACAAATATCTGTCACTGGTGACACGGCGCACCGTCCGACTGCCAGCGGCGGTGAGGGGACGACTGATCGAACGCACATCCCTGGCCAACGGCGACCGGGTGAGACGGACGGACCGCGCACTGTGCAGAATCGAGTGACATCCACAGCTAAGGGCATTGACACTGTGGTTCGGCCTTCTGTGTCTAATGTACACCGTACCAACACGAATCGGCTGACTACAAACACAGGTCAGTCGCCGCGCCATCAGACGACAGACAGCTCCGCCACTGAGCAGTCAACAGCAGGTGCACCTCCACCAGGTCCGCCGCCAAGGGAGGTTGTCGCTCCCGGGTCACCGCCTGCCGTCAGCCAGCGGCCGCCGCTGGTGGCTCACACACCCCGCGTGTCCGCCCCGAGCCCTCCACCGCCAGCGGCGCCGGCCGACCCCGACGCGCCGGTGCCCGGCTCGCTGGAGGCGCCGGCGCGCGTGGTGGCGCTGCTCGGCATCCACGGGCCGGGCCGGCGCGTGTGCGGCGGCGCCGTCAGTGCCGAGGGCCTGCAGCGCTGGGAGGCGCTCCGCTGGACGGTGACGCGCCTCTCGCGCCGGCTGCGGCTGCACGTGCGTCTCGAGCCGGCCGACCACTGCGGCTCGCCGATGCGCGCTGTGCGCCTACTGTCGGTTGGACCGCCGCCGCTGGCCGTCATCCACGACCTGCCGGGTGCGGCGGCCGGCGCAGTCACGGCCGCGCTCGCCGGCGCCAACGTGACGGTGCTGCGGTTGTCTGCGGGCGAGGGAGCAGCGCCGCCGGCCGAGTTCAGCGTGCAGCCGCCGCCCGGCTGGCAGCCGGCGCTGCTGGCCACGCTGGTGCGCGCGCTCGGCCTCCGCCGGCTGCTGGTGCTGCACTCGGACGAGCCGCGCCGCCGCGCGCTGGCCGCCGCCCTATCGGCCCAGCTGCGGCCGACGGTGCCCTGTCTACGCACGGCCACACTCGGCCCCAGCCTGGGCGGTCTGTCGGCGGCGGCGGACAGCACCCACGGCCGCGCCATCCTGGCCCTGCTGCAGCCTGCCGACATGGACCTGCTCTTCAAACAGCTGGCGGCGCGGCCCGGCCGGCGCGACCCGCTCTTCTTCGTGGGCGACGCCAGCTGGGGCGACAACATCCGTCTGCTGCGCCGCCACTCGCTGGTCGTCGACAATGCCGTCATCGTGCGCGCGCGCCGGCTGGACGTGGCCGCGTTCGGTGAGCAGTTCCTGCAGACCCGCGGCGCCGCCGGCGGCGGGGGCGGTCCGTCGGCCGGCTGGCGCGCCCAGTACTGGCGCCAGTGCGGCGCGCGCTGCTCCCTGGAGACGGCCGGTGTGGAGGACGCTCTACTGACGGCCAACAGCCTGATGGCCGCCCTAGCGCGTCTGCAGCGGACCGAGTGTGAAGACCCACCGCGAGAAGACGCCACATGTCAGCCGTGAGTAGTACCAAAGTCGCTGACTCGCTTCTGAATGACCCAATGTAGTCATTAGATATATGCTATATTCTTGTATCTCAATGTATTACGATATTCCTGTCAAATTTTTAACAGGATGTCAGTTTTCGTTCAATTGTTACACTTATTCAATAACTTTACAAATATCCCTGGCTAATTCAAAGGTGCCTTTTCCACTCTAAGTGGAAGTCTGATCTCCACCCCTTCGTTTCCACCCCAGAATTCCCCGCATCAGCGGTGGCCTGGCGGGCGCGCTGCTGGCTGGACCCGACTCCCGCACACCAGCCGGTCTGCCCGTGCTAAGCTTCGACTCCGATCGGTGGGCTGTGCGGCGTGCGGACGTGCTAAACCTCCGGGACATGCGGCGTATCCCCACCGTTCGCGAAATGCACTACGTCAAGGTGGGAAGGGCAGCGGGACCAGGACAGGGTTGTGCGTTACGTTAGGTGAGAATCAATGGGTACGCGATGACTGTGAGAAATTGAAAAATGTGAACTGTCTGGTTTATTTATCGTTAAACTGTTTGCTGAAGCGCTCGGTGGCTGTTATTGACCATATGTCGGTGAGCTAATGTGAATCTGACGCTGAAACTCTCCTCTGACAGGTGGGCGAGGTGGACGCCAGCCGGGCCTACCTCAGCCGACCGGTGGTGGCCAACACGGCAGACGGACGGGAGGTGGCCGCCGCCAGCTGGATTCAGGGCTGTCCCGCCGCAGACAACGCGACTGGAGCTACTGATGTAAGCGGGCGGGCCACGGAAGAATCTGCTACCGAGGCTGAATCTGCCTCGGGTGGATTCACTTCTGAGGCTACCACAGCAGCTAAGTCTGTCACTGAGGCTGGAAGGACGGTGGAGCAGCCTGTCACGAAGGTTGAACAGACGGTGGATGGTCCTGACACCGAGGCTGAACCGCCAGAAGATAAGCCAGTGACTGAGGTTAAACTAGCCCCGCCATCGCCAGAGTCAGCGGACGAGAAGCCGATGACGGTGACCGAACAGGCGGTACTAAAACCTGTGACGGCAGATGGGGTAATGACACAACAGCCTGTAACCACCCTCGGACCAACGATCGAAAAACCTATGGTGACTGGAAAAATGGCACATAAGCCATTGCCACCACCTGACTATGCTTCTGAAGAACCTGACAGACATTCCACTGTTGCGCCCGATGTTTCTGAGACAGCTGGTGGAGTTACTGATGTCACAGCTATCAGTGTTCTCAATGTCACAAACGTTACCGAACAGACAACTAGTGGCGATACCGAGCCTTTAACTGCTACTGAAGCCAGAAATGCTGGTATCACTGAGGATCCGGCTCTCCTTGTCACGAATGCTGCAACTGTTGGTGTCACCGAAACCACGAGTGTTACCGATGTCACAAATGCCGGTGTTTCTGAGACCAGAGAGGATGAACCAGAAACCACGACCAGCCGAGTCATCACTTCCGAATCGTCACCAGCGGCGCCCAAGGCGGAAGCTGAATCGACCGCCACTGCCAATATCGAGGCGGGTAAGCCTGCGGAAGGGTCCAACATCAACTCATTAGACGCCGCTGCTAAAACAGGAGAGACGTCCATGACCACATCAGAGCCGGAGATGTTGGACGATACCGCCAGCTCAGACACTAACATAGCACATCCTTCCGAAGAGAACGGAAATGCCCCTGAAGTGAGCCCGCACAGCGTTACCGAACTCATAAGCGTAGCGGCCAATGCCACCGGCCATCTCAGCGGACCGCCAATGGATAGCGCGGTGGATGGATCGGAGTCGGACCGCTCACCTGAGCTACATGATGCGACCACTCAGATTATACCCAATAGCGCCTCCGAAGCAGCGATAACTCAAACATCCATGTCACCCAACGGCTCTCCAGGTTCTTCGGTTGGTGAGAGTAAAGCGCTTGATGAAGAAACAAGGAAGAGAGTTAGAGGCATCGTCAACACTTCAAGAACATCATCAGATAGTAAAGTGAAGACGTCCGACCAAGATACGACAATGCGATCTAGAAAACCTTCACAAGCAGCAACAGGCCAGTCGAAGTCGATGAATGGGTCAAGCACAATACAGCCAATAAAAGCAAATACCAATACGAAAATGCCATCAAGGCACGAGGCTGATTCAGCCAGAATGAATGGCACATCGACAGAAAACACACTGGTATCGATGTCTACTGAGAGCGGTCAAACTGGCAGTAGCCAGTCGACGAAAGTGACGAAAACATTATCTTCTGAAGTCAGTAAGTCTCCAGCGACAACCACAGCCATTCGAGCGTCCAGTGTGCTGGTATCACAGACCCTAAATACCAAACCGCCGGCGCTCGTGCGAAGGCCAGCCGCCAAGGACACGGTGTCATCCACCAAAGACACGAGCGCGATTTCCCTAGTCAGCAAAATACTCAGCGAGCTAACTTCAACGGCTAAAACCACGACGTCGGAATCGAGCACCAGAGACGAGAAAGAAGAAATGGAAAAGACTGCTGTGCATTCAGCTGTGTCTGCGGTCCCAGCACCGACAGAACCTTCGTCGACGAGATGGACCAGTACAATCGCCTCAACGTACAGGAAAACAAGCACGATCGAATCCATACTGAGGAAGATGACCCAGTCCATGCCGACTCCACAAACCACCAGCGCCACAGAGTGGACCACCGAAACAGCCAACATGTCCACCTCGACAGCGGCCAGCAGTACGGAGTCCGGCGGCCGGCGGGGCGCCGACTGGGCCTGGGAGCCGCCGCCGCCGCTGCCCGAGCGCCACCTGCCGGCCGCCGGCGGCTCACTCTGGTACCTGGCGCTCAGTGTGGACGCGCACGGCCGCGGCGGCGGCGCGCTGGGCTGCGGCCGGCCGCGCGCCGCCGCGCTCACCGCGCTCGACTGGGCGGCCGCGGCGCTGGAGCGCTCGTGGCGGCGCCGGCCGCGCCACCGGCCCGGCCTGCTGGTGGTGGATGGCTGCCAGCAGCCGCTGCGCCGGCAGCAGCAGGCGGCGGTGGTGCTGTCGGCAGCCGGCCGGCCGCCGCGCCGGCTGGCCGGTCTGATCGAGCTGACCGGCTCGGAGGCAGTGGCGGCGGCGTTCCGGCGACACCGGGTGCCCAGTGTGGTGGCGGCGGCCGGCGGCGGCGAGGGCCGCCTCTCGCTCGCGGCCGACCCGCAGACGACGGCCGCCGCGCTGGGCCGCCTGCTCGAGCAGCTGCAGTGGCGGCTGGTCTCGCTGGTGCACGCGCCCCACTCGGCCTGGCACGCGGCCGTGCTGGCTGAGCTGACAGCCGGGCCGCGGCCGCCGCGACTGGCCGTCACAGAGGCCCTCAGCGCCGAGCCGGGCGGCGGGCAGCTGGCGGCGGCGGCGGCAGCGCTGGCCGCCGGCCGGCAGCGCGGTGCGCATGTACTGATCACCCTGCTGCCGGCGCCGGTCACCGGGCAGCTGCTGAGCACCCTCCGACAACACGGTGTCCGGCTGTTCGTCATCAGCGTCGACCTGAGCCGCAGCGGAGAGACCGACTAGTGAGTACCAGCTGATCCTACCGGATTTACAATGCCTTACATTACAATGGCTGATTTTAGGTATGCATGTTATGCGTACATCATATATTGAAATGCTGGAATATTGGACTGTAGTTGGACGGAACAGCGGCTGACCGGGCAATGTGTTTCAGTTCCGGCACGGCCGGAGCGGTGCGCATGGTGCCTCCGCCGCCGCCGCCCGCACCTGGCCGTGCCCCGGCCACCGTCCTGACCGCTGACCTGTGGCCGGAGGCGGAGCCGCGGCAGGGAGAGGGGACAGAGGGCGAGAGTTGGACGGCGGCCGTGACGGCGGTGACCGCGCTCAGCGCCCACCTGCTGCCTCTACTGGACGCCATCTGCCCAGGTAGCGCCGGCCACCGACCGTCAACTCATTCTAAGGACTGATAACCAAACAGTAGCTTAGCACATCGAGAAGTAAAGTAAAGCTTGCCGAAGTCTACTGAATATCTCTTTCATTATGACACCTTCATGTAAAACAACTTTGCGAGTAACATCAAAAGCTTCTTCAGACACAACCTTCGCCGACTAACCGGGCTCTGGCTCCCTTCAGACCCAAATAGCTCTCCGCCGACTGACCGAACCTCTGACCGTGTTTCCCCCGGAGACCCGGAGACGGCCGAGTGCGACCTGTCCACCCTGGACGCGTTCGACGCCGACGACCTGACCCGACACGTGACGACACTGACGTTCCCGGGCGCGGACGGCGCGCCGAACTCGTTCCTGGACAGCCACTACCTGGCCTCGGCGCCGCTCCAGGTGGGACACGTCATAGTCCTGACAGGTGTGCGGACTGGTCTAAGGACTTCGCACAGGGCTCGGCCCCGGACAGAGACAGATTAGGCATGAGACGAGTACGGTAGACAGCCAGAGGAGACAGGAGAGGATGATCTGGTCATGCAGTATAAATGTGAGACAACGTGGATGACTGTGTTAGACGAGAAGAGTAGTAAGACTGGATGGAGCACAATGGTTCTTACGGCGGGGAATGGGACACACCGTTTCCGATTGGAGAGTGGCACAGGCCGACGACCTGGCCTGCGCCCTGTGTCTCCCAGGTGGGAAGGATGATGAATGACCTGTGATATGTGACCAGCAGGAGAAGTCTGGTGACCTAACCCGTGGGACTGTGTCTCCCAGGTGGAGAGTCTTTGGGTGGACCCGGGGTCGGACGAGGGCGCCTACTGGCAGCCGGTCGGTAACTGCACGGTGCAGAACGGCCTGCAGCTGGAGCTGGAGCAGCTGGTGGCGTACCGGACGGACGGCGAGCCGGTGCCGGCCGCCGAGGTGCGCTCCACATGTCCCAGCTGCCAGCCGCCGCCCGACCAGACGCACATCATGGAGGTAAACAACCGCTATCTGACGATACGGCATGACGCATGTCTTGTCAATAACAATGAAACTATGGAGATTGACTGACGTCGGGTTTCTGTTCTTCTTTGGGGTTCGGATTCAGTGCCGTTTGGCAGATTCAGTTTATTAGTTTGTTGTCGCCTGGAAGTTGAATGTATTTGTAACTCCTCCCGTGTCTGTGGCCGTCAGGTGGCGCTGGCCGGCTCCAGCTACCAGCTGGCGGTGCTGGCGCCCGTCCACCGCGAGGGCGCCGACATGTTCCGCTGCGGCCCGCTGGCCGACACGGAGACGCTGCTGGGCGTGGCGGCCGCCGCCTGGTCGGTGGCCGCCTCCCGCCTGCCGGTCGGCGCCCGGGTGCTGGACACGTGCGGCCGACCGGAGCGCGCGCGCGACCAGCTCTTCTCGCTGCTGAGCTCGGCGGCGGCCGACCCGCGCCGGCTGCTCGGGGTGCTCAGTCTGTCTGAGCCGGCCGGCGCCGCCGTGGCCGGCATGCTGCGCCAGGCGGGCGTGCCGCACGTGTGGCTGCCGCTGACAGGCCACGGCGGCGCCTACGACCGGATGGTGGGGCCGTACCGGGCCGTGCCGCCCGTCGAGCTGGAGGTGCACGCCGTGGTGTCGTTGGCGCGCCGGTTCGGCTGGCGCTACCTGTCGGTGCTGCACTCGACCGACCAGTACGGCCTGTGGGCGCGCCAGCTGCTGGTCGAGACGGCGCCGCAGCACGACATCTGCGTCGGCTCGGTGATCGGCGTCGGCGGCGGGTTCGGAGCCGCCGAGGCCGAGGGCGCGCTGGCGGAGCTGGGCCGCGACTCGGCCGCCTCCACCGTGGTGGTGCTGGTGTCGCGGGCCGAGCAGACGCGCCGGCTGCTGGCCGCGGCCGCCGCGGCTGAGGACGGTCTCCGGGAGCGACTGCTGTTTGTGGTCGGCCGGCACGGCGGCCCGCCGCCCGACGACGAGCGGCTGGCGCCGGCGCTGCGCCGCGCCGTGTTCGTCTCGCTGCCCGAGTCGCCGCCGATGACGGCCGTCTCCCGGTGGCTGGCCACCATGAGCGCCGATTCGCACGCGCCGCTGCCGGACGAGTGGTTCGCCGAACTGGCAGAGCGGCGTCGCCAGTGCGCGGAGGCCGCCGCCGACGGCCAGCCGGCGTCGGCCGACTGCGCCGCGCTGCCCCGCGAGCAGAGCCCGCCACCTGTCTCTGCGTACGTGCACCAGGCGTCTGCGGCCGTGGCGGCGCTGCTGGACACGCTGTCCCAGTACCTGCAGCGCCACTGCGTGCCCGGACAGCCGTGCGCGCAGCTGGTCGGCGCCGAGCTGATGGAAGCGCTGGACGCCCGTCTGGCCAACACCTCGTCTTCCACGCCGCAACGGCCGCGGCTGCTCTCTGCCGAGCTGCAGCTGTGGGCGGTCCCGGACGGTCGCCGGCCGCGGCCGCTGGCCTCCTACGGGCGCGGTCTGCTGCGGCTGGCCCAGGGCGAGGCCGGCTGGCGGGCCGCGCTGGAGCAGCACCGCTCTGAGTGCAGCACCGGGCCGTGCCTGGCCACCTGCGCGCAGCAGACGGAGCTACTGGCGCCGCGCGCCGGCGGGCCGCCGCCGGAGCCGGAGCCGGCCGCGCTGCGGTCCGTGTTCGGGGTGGTGAGCGTGGTACTGTCGGCGCTAGGTGTTCTGGTGGCGCTCGGCTGTCTGGCCTACTTCAGCCTGTCGGCCAGCAGCCGCGTCTGCCGCTCGCCAGTCGACGCCCAGGTGCTGGTCGGCCTGATCCTCATCTGCTGCGACAACGTGGCCTTCCTGCTGCCGGCCAGTGCCGGGGTGTGCGGCGCGCGCCGCTTCGTCACCGGCCTGGCGTACGCCACCGTGTACTCGGCGCTGCTGGTCAAGATGATCCAGGTGTGGCGCGTGGCCGGTGGCCGGTGCGACGAGCTGTCACAGCGCGGCGCTCTGCTGCTGGTCTCGCTCTGCCTGCTGGCCGTGCAGGCGCTGCTGGGCGCCGCCTGGCTGGTGCTGTCGCCGCCGCGCGCCCAGACGCTGGTCGGCCGACTGCGGTGCGCGCCCGCCGGCCGGTTCGAGGCCGAGCTGGCCGTCTCGCTCATCTACGTGCTGCTGCTGAAGCTGGGCCTGGTATGTTTCTGCGCGGCCGGCTGGCGCGGCGAGTCGGCGTCGGGCGGCCGCGAGCCGGAGCCGCGCTGGCTGCTGGCCACTGCCGGTCTGACGGGCGCCGCCTGGGCCGGCTGGCTGGCCGCCGTGCTCTCCTGGCCGGCTGAGCACAGCGCCGCCACCGCCACCGTCATCTGCAACCTGGTCTGCGTCTGCGTCTTCTTCGCCTGCCTCTACCTGAGGAAGGTGAGCCGCCCGACACTGATAGAAAACCCTGGCTTGGACTCGGACGAGAAGGCTAAAGCAAGTGTGTGTTGCTAAAAATCTTGTCGCGAGGAGCATGACGCTCAACTCATGAGCATGATGTTGACGCATGACGTTAGTTGTCGATGTTGATGCAGCGTGCATGTGTCGTTCGCAGGTGATGCTGTTCAACTATTTGTGGCGGAACCCCGACGACCCGGACCTACCCTCGCCGGTGACCGTCTCCACCATCAACAACTCCTTCCTGATGCAGATGCCGGCCAAACTGAAAAACTTCTCCTTCGTGCGCACACCACAGCTCTCAGAAAGAATACAGGGTACGTCATGGTCGTCTGAAACGGTACCGCATAAAAACTCGTTGTTAACTGCTGGATTATCAGCGCCATTTGTTCACAAAACATTACGACGAATTTCACGTCTCGCCACAGAGAACGCGCGCACCTGGAACCCGGCGACCGAGGAGAACGGAGCCTCGCTGAGTTTCGCCGACGACGAGAGCGTCGACCTGGACCGCTCGCTGTCCGTGCACGAGTTCACGCTGTCGGCCGAGCAGCGCAGCCGTATCACGGCCGCCGCCTGCCTCCATGTGGTGAGTCGCAGTCCGAGTCTGGTGTGGCGTGTGAGGAGTGCGTCATAATGGGTAGATGAAAACGTATCCCGAAATCACAGCCCAGCCCCAGTTCGGTAACACAACGATCGTAAAAGTTTAGAAAGCATGTCGCCCTGATATCCACATGACTGCGAGACTGCTCGATTTGATTGCCTCCCCCCCCCCCCCCCCCCCCTAATGTTACTGTCACCCTGAAATGGAACTGTTTTACCGACCTGTTTTTACCCATTGTCGATCCACATGCCCCCATGCAGACCATGCGGATTAGGAATGCTCATGCGCCTGTTTTAAGTGAACCGACTCGCGATCTGTCATCCCGTCGCCGCGCCGTGCTGGCTACACTCGACCACAGCTCCGCCGAATATAAACGGGTGAACCCGGCGCGCGATCAGACACGACAGCTGTCAATAGATTCGGCGGCGGCTGCAGGAGGGGCGCGGCTCGGTGTGGAGGGTGGTGCGGTCGGCAGTGGGGAGTGGTCGAGACGGCCGCACCACGCCGGACATACAGCTCAACGAGCTGAACCACTACTTTGTGGAAGAAGGGCCACGCGCGTCTTGTGAGGAGCGTAACTCGGGGGAAGCGCCTCACTTACCCTGCAGACTGCCACGCGTTGGGACCTGCTTGTTTTCACTGTCACACCTGTCACTGTCTGAGCTGCGCTCTATCGTCTTCTCCATGAGCGGTTCGTCCGCCCATAGTGAGGACGGTATTTTTATCCGCATGGTCCGCATGTCGTTTGTCGCGATTGGCACGGTGCTCGTGCATTTGGTCAATTCCAGCATCTCTCTCCGACATACCTCAATCCTGGAAACATTCCCTTGTCCATCCAATCCACAAAGCCGGCGATCCTTCCAACCCGTCCAACTTCCGTCCTATATCCATTGTCCCTGTCATCCCTAAGATTGTAGAGCGAGTCGTTCATCACCAGCTCTACAATTACCTCAACAACAATTACCTATCATCCACCCAGCACGGTTTCTGGCCTCGTCACTCGTTTGAAACCGCGCTAGTATCAATATTCGATCACATCCTATCCGCAAACGATCGGGGAGAGCTGTCACTCCTGTGCCTGCTGGACTTGAGCAAATGTTTTGATACGATATACCACGACAAATAACTCACAAAATTGCAGCTGCACGGAATTGATATCAATTGGTTTGCTTCTTATCTTCGGAGCCACGCACAGAGGCCTCACTGACACTCTGGGGAACACCAAAATATCAGCTCCGCTTCCCAACAACATCGGTGTTTTCCAAGGATACTGGCTCGGCCCTCTGCTCTACTGCGTCTTCGCCAACGACCTCAGTCTGTTCGCCGAGGACGCAGTAGTTGTACAGTACTCTGATGACACCCAAATTTTGGTTAGTGGTAAAAGCACAGAGTTCTCCAACGTTTTACGGAAGATGGAAATCACATTGGCTTCACTTGACAGATGGTTTCGTACTAACGGCTGGAAAGTAAACGCTGAAAAAACTTTACTGATATTGCTGGGAAGCAGCCAAAATTTGCGCAATGCCCCTAGTTTTACGGTACAATTCCGCGATCACAAAATTTCACCTATTTCGGAAGCAAAGAATCTCGGCCTCATGTTTGATCGCACGCTGAGCTGGGACACTCTTGTTGCATCAGTCATACGACGCTGTTTCGGCTTGCTCATTGGTCTGTCACATGAACTTTTTATGACTTTGTATCGTTGACGAGAGGTGGTAATAACCACAAGCACTGTGGATCGCCTTAATAAGTGTCTATGTCTATAATTATATGTCTATGAGAGTTTGTGTCGTTTAGCGCAGACTCCAGTCTCTAGAAAACGTAATGGCAAACAGATTACAGGGGATACCTACTGCCGATATCATTATACCCTGGACTCTGGCACATCTCTTCTGATCCATTCAGTCCTCACATTTGGCCTCTTTTTAGCCCGACTAAGTTCAATGGGTGCCTGTGCTGGAGCGGGCCCGCTGACCGGTCACGGTCCTCGAGTGTCCCCAGGAGACGGTGACCAGCAGCTCGGAGAGCGAGGACATGGACCACTACGACACGCCCAAGGCGCTCAACGAGCTGGTGCGCCGGCTCGGAGACCGCACCGTGCTCGTGCTGCCCACCGACAACGCCGAGGGACAGGACGGTACGTGTAACACCAACTAGGACAGGTGGGACGATAGGATAGTACTCGTAACTACGTTGTGAAGAGTGATAGGACAAGACATGTGTAGCCAGTAGGCGGCATGCGGTCGTTATGTCACATCCCCGGAAAAGACGGCATATGATAGTACTGGTTTTCTATCAGCATTGGATTAAGCATGGGTTTGAACGCAACATGACCTTGCAGTCGGCGCGCCCCTACATCTCCCCTCCCCCTGGGTTTGTTGTTAGTACTCGACGCATTTCTTTCGGTGTTTCAGAAGACTCCAAGATTTGAGGTGGACATGTCGTCTACCGGGGGCGTAGACAACCAACGAACAGCGTTACAGCGCACAATGGAACCTCGTCGGTAATGCGATACGCTCTCACGTCGTCGACCGACAGTATTGTGATATAATGGACCGAACGGGCCGCCACTGACCTGGTAGGGGACCGACATCGGCACCGGGAGAAACACTGGGCGGCTCAGGACTGCTGTCGTGGACGAACTGCCAGAGGACTGACCGGCACGTATGACAGATCGACAGCTGACAGTCCGGCGTGGCCTTCGTGGATATGATGAACCAGTATTATGCAAACGGTCCTTTCGGAGAGCGTCGGTATACGTGGATTGCCAGCCCCAGAGTCGGTTGTTAAGGTCGCGAACCCGCCCCACCCAGAGACAGAACAAGCGAGTGTCGATTCGCTGAAAATTATCCCAGCCGAGGCAAGCGGACTCCGACGTGGTGATTAAGTGAGAGGGGCGGCTACAAGCTCGACGCTTCAGACTACTGTCGGTGAAATCTCGGGCGCACTCGACACTCGACAGGGAAATCAGGATATACAGCTGTTTTGTTATTACGCTTTAAATGTCGAGGCACTTTGTGCAATTTATAAATGACGTACATTTGTGATGTGTATGAATATATTGTAACATTTCTGTGTGTTATTTTGACACTTAAAATGCTACCAAGTAATATAAAACATGTGTATTTCATCTAAAACAATGAAAACAAGCAATGTACCTAGTTACACAATGATCACGTCGGGGTGGCTTGATGTACTTTCGAGCGTCTACCGGCGCCAAATTCAATCGTCAGTCGGTACTCACACCTCGCGGTATCGAACGGGAGTGGCTCAGGCCTGCAGCGACACGGGGCTCGGGCCGTTAGCGCGCGCCTCTCGCCGCTCCAGGTAGCGCTGCCGCGCCGCCTCGAACACCTCACCGACGGTGCGTTTGTCGTACAGCGCGCGGCGCCGGGCGGCCCGCTCGGCAGAGGAGGCCCGCGGCCGGGCCGGCTGCGAGGGCGGCGGCGGGGGCGGCTCCCTCTGCCCCTCCCCGTCACTACCACTGCCGCTGCTGGAGTCCGAGTCGGCGTCACTGCGGCGGCGCTCGGACCGCTCCTCGCCGCCGTCACGCCTCCTCTCTGGGTCCCGGCTGCGGGACCGGTCCCGGTCACCGGAGGGGGAGCGGCGCCGGCGCCGGTGCCGTCGCTCGCTGGCCGCCAGCTCCGACCGGTCCGGCTCGGGGGACGAGGAGACGCGCCTCGCCCGGTACTGGCGGCCCGGCGCCGCCGGGGAGGTCGGCTCCGAGCCCGGCTCCACCTTCACCGCCGTCTCAGAGGTCTCGCCGGGCTCCGGTTTGACGTCGTCCGGGTCCGAGCGCGCCGCATTCGCCTTCTGATACATGTGTCGGTAGAAGCTGCCCAAATCCTTTTGCTTCGTAACGTCGTTGATCTCTGTAAATGAAGAACGGACGGCATAGTGTCAAAGGCTGATAGCGAACTGAGACGCAATACGTTGGCAGATTCAAATTAATTACCATGCAGAGTGTAGGTAGTAGATATTCATATTTCATCCAAGAATCAGAATGGAACATTCAGAATATGATGGAGAGACAATAATTTAGTGCAAACCCATGCTCAAGCTCGACGCATTGGGCCCAAATGTAGAAAACGTGCGCACCAAGAAAACGACACAAACAATTCAGATCGTTGGGCATCAGTTTGTAGACCATCATCTGAATAGACAGCAGCGATACAAGTTCTTAGATATGTAAATCGTGGGCTATGCATTCACGCATTCAATCTCATTATCTCCAAAGAATCCACATGTTTCCTCAAGGCACGTTCACTGCCCTCTGCCGACAGTGTCGACTCACCCTCGATCTGTTGGATCCTGCGCTCCTTCTCCTCCTCCTCCTTGCGCTCGAGCAGCCGCTGGCGGTAGGCGTCTGTGACGAACTGCTCCTTGTCGGCAAACTCGTCGCCCTCTCGCTCGCGCTCCAGCTGCACCTGGCGCTCGATGCGCCGCTCCTGCTGGTGGCGACGCTGCTCGGCCGACTGCAGCAGCTTCTGCATGTAGCGCGGCTGGCAGCGGAGCGCGGGGAAGGTCAGCAACACCGCCAGGGGGCAGGGACACACCGCGACAGACGCACGCCGACAGAAACGGACACGGGTGCGGTCAGGGCTCAGGGGTGTGTTACAAGACATGACTCACGGTAAATGGTCGAACCACAGAAAATAAAATTTATAGCTGTTACAGGGAGTTTGAGAAATCCGTAAGCTTGCAAACTCACTAGGGAGTTTACAAATTCACTAGGGAGTTTGCAAACTCACTGGCCGGTTAGGGAGTTTGAGAAATTCCAGAGCGATTGGGCCAAACAAAAACAAGTGTGCAGCATGTGGGTGGCATACGTGCCGTCCGTGATGTTAACCCGCGCCCTGCTGGGGGTCCTGGATTTCCACGCCCTGCTGGGGGGGGGGTGTTTGAACACCCCCCCTTCTAACTCGGCTCCTGGGCCACGTAGCGATACGCGGAAGGCGGCGTTCGAAAGAGCGTCAAAAATAATGAGGAAATCACTTCGGTCAATTTTTTGGTCAGGTCAAAGGTCAGGTCACCAGAGGTCATTGAAGGCAAAATTTCGCCGATTTCCAGGTCGAATGTCGACAATTTCCAAGAAGCCAACGCATAACTCGGGAACCAATAGAGCTACAGCGCCGCGGAAAAGCGCATTCGATAGCCCTATTAACGCCCTTTCTGAGTAATGTTCTCAGATTTGACCTAACGTCAACGGTTTTGCCTGCAGGGGGCAAAAACTGCCAAAATAGCCGATTTTTTCGGAAACAGTTTTTCTGCAATAACTTTTGACCCAAGCCTTGTACGAGCTTACTTTTACCGGCATCGTGTTCCTCTCGTCAAGACGCATCGAATGAACTATAACTTGACCTTGAAAGGTCAACTTGAAAATTTGACCTCAGGTCAAGGTCATGACCTGACCGGAAAGGGTCATGTTGCATATCAGTCGATCCGTATCGTCGAGCTGAACACATCTAAGGCGTTTTCATCGCTCTAGCATGCCTCTATCAAAAGTTATTTGCGAAAAACTGTTAGATACCATTCGTGACCTAAGATGACCTCAGGGCATAAACAGGGGTCACGGACACCATTTTCATGTTCAGTGTGTCTAAACCACTTGTAATGCAGTGTTTGTGAGTGTTTATAATGTCTTTCGTCTAAAAGAGGCGCATTTCAATTTTCTCCCATTGACTTATAATGGGGAGGTCGCAAAATTGACCTGACCTTAGGTCATCGATATCAAAATTCTGAGATAAACATTTTGTACATGCTATGGCTCTTAGCAATCGCTGAAAGTTTCAAAGTGATCGGTCACTCGGTGTAGCTACGACAGACATTGAAACTTTTTATGAGGTGAGGTCACTTCAAGTGACCTGGTGACCTGACCTTGAATGAACTTGGTCTGAAATTTTCACAACATGTGTAGAATTGATGTATGGTAAGGTGTACCAAAAACGGCGGCGCTCCGCGCCGCCGTTTTTGAGATATTCGCGAAAAACCACAAGGGGGGGGGGGTGTTCAAACACCCCCCCCCCCCCAGCAGGGCGCGGGTTAAAACAAAGGCGGCTGGTTATATGGGCCTCGCACGCTGACAAAAAGCTTATAGATCATATGCACACTATAAATAGCTTCGTCTGATTTTAAACTGTTCAGTGATCTATCCAAGCATGTACCGCCGCTTTATTTAGTCATGCATTTATTTAGTTCACGCCCCAATTAGATCGGTTCCACTCAAGTGTGGCTATTCCAGAGTCAGGCTCAATATATCAAAGTAGAAACAGCTCAGTTGGTCACTTATGCTAAGTACAGGCACACGCACCAATTCACGCCCCATTCCCACTCCGCCATAGACGTGTCATCGAGAGCCGGCGCTGCTGGCATCCAGCTGCGACTGGAGCACGTTGCTTGTTTGTTTTTGTTTTGTTGGGTTAGGCCCTTTCGGTCTGACAAGACCATTTCAGAGCCGGAAGAATGAAAGGAATTAGGGGGAGACATTGGTCTGGGCAGGTAACCTAGTGAGTCACCGGCACTGAGCCCGTCCGAATGGACAGGCCGACCAGCCCCCCCCCCCCTCCCCCCCAACACTCTCTGCACCCGGCTACGGGGTGCGCTCCCTTGGGAGCGGCCCGCATGAGATAAAGGTGCTGGTCCAGCCCCGGGAGTGGGGGTTTCGGCGTGGAGGAGAAGGATTTCAGTATCCTGAGGATGGAAACGACGGAACGGAGGAGCACGTTGCTCCGAACCTCCCCTTTTCAGCTCCGCTAGTAGCTTTTTTCCGGTAAAAAAAATTAATGATCTGTAAGCTTTTTTGTCAGCGTGCGACGGTTATATAGGCCGTTCCACTAGCCGCCTGTAGTTCTCTATATACCGTGCCGCCTGTGTTTTAACATCACGGACGGCACGTACCGCCACCCTCATCTGACACACTTGATTTTATTTGTCCCAATCACTCTGAAAGTTCCCAAACTCCCTGACCGGTCAGTGAGTTTGCAAACTCCCTGATGACTCTGTAAACTCCCTAGTGAGTTTGCAAACTCACTGGCGGGTCAGGGAGTTTGCAAACTCCCTAGGGAGTTTGCAAACTCACGGATTTCTCAAACTCCCTGTAACATAGCTATAGTTACACACTGAATTATCGATACAACAGAATACAGTTATGGTCATCAGCATCGTTCGACAACTCAACGGGCACGAAAACGTCCGTATACGGATCATAAATAGTTATTGAATGTCGCTTACCTTGTTATCCACTGTCTTCTTGGTCTCAACCTTATTCTGTTTCTGCTGTTTCATGTCATCGTAGACCTCATCGTACTGGAAGAGCGAGGCGTCTTCCTGCATCGCCTGCCGGATCACCTTTCGCGTCTGGGCCGCCTGCACGGAGCCGTGCGATATCGACTGAAACGGCACCAACAAATTAGCCCACACTGTCATACCGACCGACTGCCTTCCCTGACGATGTGTTCGCGATTGCTCAGAGCGCCTTCGAGATAGAACTTTAAGTGACCGTCCCACCTTAACATTAGTTTTGAGTTGAGATAACCAAATCGGGGTCCCTGGCCTGCAATTACCGGTTTGAGCACTCACAACATCGAGCAATGCTTTAATTCGGAGATACTTTATTTCAAAGGTGCAGTTTTCGGATTCTAAGGGGCTAATGCGTTTAAACGCCCCCTTGAATTTGTGACGTCAGCGCAGGCCTACCGATTTTAAAATCTAATACTAAAAGAAAACTGTTGCTCTTGCGGTTTATACTGTTTGCGCGAAACATATGTCGCACTTTAACCCTCGCATGTGTAGGGGGGGGGGGGGTCGGATGGACCCCCCCCCCATGGTTTTTCGCGAATAACTTGCGTAAAAAGCGGCCGATCGCGACGAAACTTTCAGTACCCTCGCATTGATCAATTTTACACCTACCCTGAAAATTTCATGACCCTGACCCAAATGACCTTTGACCTGTGACCTCTTTTCCGAGACCATGTTTGGCCGGAATCGCGATTTCGCGTATGTCGGCTCGCACTAGCCGCGTGTTTGCAGGCTTTTCGTGGTTTCAAACGTTCAAACATGTGATTTGATGTTACTCCCGTGTGTGTCAAGGTCA